GGATTTCTTTATCTGTGGGTTTCTGTTGCGTGCGTTGCGAAAACGCTGTGGGAGAATAATACCTCTTTAAAGAATCTAAAAAAAACTTTGACGAAAATTATAGCTATAGCTGTTACCCACGACGTCGCTGGTAACAGCTATAATTTGTTAAGATGAGAAGGTAAAATTTTGCATAACCAAATTTTGATGCCTAAAATTTCGCGAACGAATTCGGGGCACTCTAATTGGCGCTTATTTGCCGTTTTTTAATAATATTAAACTTTATATAGGAATTCAACTAGCACTTCGATTTTTCTCCAAAAACACTCTTAAGTTAGACATGTTGAAGGGCGACGTGCCTCTAATCAATCCTGAAGGGAAATCCCTTAGGTAGGCCAGTCGACCTCAAATAAAGCGGAAACATCAGAAAAGTAGTTTCAATTCCATTAGGATGGGATAAACCAGTTTACAACTTGTTTAGTGTTACTCCCTAGAAATTAGTTATTTCTTCTGTTCACGTAACCTAGCCTAACCGTTGTTAAAGATTGCGAATCCAATTATTAGTATTTTTATGACATATACACTTTTTGATTGTGTGGTTCTGGACTTCCGGAAATCGACAAAACATGAACAGAGTTACAATATTCCTCCCAGCTATTTGAGGTCCAGATTTTTTTAGGCGATATGTAACGTTATTAGAAAAACCAGGCCTCTTTCGAAATCAGACCCACAATCCGTTAGTTTTTGAGATATACATTACTGCCACTAGACCAATCTCTATATAACTTTTGACAAACTATAATAGTATATATAGTGGTCCTGGTATGTGATGATGATGTCGTGGTTCGTGGGGTGTCCTCTGTGTTCAAGCATGCACTAAGGACTATCCTCCTCCATCTTTGACGGTCTTTTGCATCGCGGCTACATTGTTCAAGGGAAGATCCGGTGTTAGCACTGATAAGGTAGGCCCAGCGGGTAGGAGAACGACCACGTGAACGCTTTCCTTTAACTCTTCCTTGGATGACTAGTCTTTCTAGGAAATCCTCATTTCTAGAAATATGACCAAAGAACTTCAGAATGCGTGTCTACGCTGTATTTGGAGTTCCCGGAGAATAGAGTTATTGGTTTGAAACGCAGTCCATGGTATTTTCAGAAGTCTTCTCCAGCACCACATTTCAATAGCATCGACTTACGACGATCCTTTGCTCTTAGCGAACATGTTCCCGCGCCGTATAGGAGAATGGGGAAGATTAGGCTGCGCATTAGGCGAACCTTAGTCTTTTTCGTTATACGACTGTCTTTCAATACTTGGTCCAAGCGCTCAACTGCTGGTCTTGTCATGGTGCATCGTCTCTTAACTTCGTCCTCACATCCACATATACTAAACCCTACTTTCTAGAAATCCCGTTTTCTGTCATGGGGTATGGGACGAACGTATTTCCGTGTCTATTTTATGTAGATAATCTAATCAATTATTTGTCTGTAGAGACAAGTAATTGATTAGACTTCTATGCTCTGCATGACAAAAAAAAAAGTTCCCACTGGATTTTCGCGTATAGAAGAACTCTCGTGGGTTTAAACCTTAAAGCTGTCAATTTGATTTTCATTTGTATTTATAAACTAAACGAACTCAACATCTATTGTATATGGTTAGTTCGCATTTACTAATTCAACATTAGGTCGATGAATAGGCTAGACATTCAATTGAGGTATATTGTCAAATTTCATACACATCAGTAACCGAAATTAATTACCATTGTTTGTATAATTAGTGATTCGCAATTGTTTTATTTCAGAGTTTGATCGTTTATTTTCATTCTTCAAAACTTATGTAGTTGTGTAACTGATTATTATTTATTATATTTAGAGTATGTGATCCAAAATACTGTAAGACTCTTACAATTATGATTCCGAAAGGGATTACGGAATTTTAGTTAAAATGTTTTTAAATAAACCACCGGTTATAATATAATATAATAAACCACCAAATTTACCGGTTTAAAACGCGATATACCGCGTGACCACAGCTGCTGCTAGCATCCGAAACGTCGGGCCGTAGTTGAATAATTTTTAAATAAGTTCCACTAATATATAACGCGTTTAAGCGTTCAAGCGTTTTTTTTATTGTGTACTAGTCGCGTTAACTACAGACAGTATTTAAAATAGATTTTTTGAGCAAAGGTTCTTGCATAAGTACTAATTCAATTGTCTTAACTCAATTATCATCAATATCTTATTATCCATTAAATACTGTGAATCTTTATCTTGATATTATATAGCATTATAAAACATAAAAGTTATGTATTTAATAACAAACACTATGAAAAGAAAACGTTGAAACAACGTTACAAAAAATAAACATGTTCAAGGCAAGTTAGTAAAAACGGTTATTTAAAAATCAAAGCGTTAATGTTACTATTTCATAAAACGAGCCGAGTTGATGAATAAACTATTCAAAGGCTAAATTATTTGCCTCTGTTACCCATCGAGCTGGTGAAATACATTATTTAACAGGTAATCACCTTGTTGTTTAATACAGGTGGGCTGATTGATTGACTGGTTATAGTTGCTAAACTTATTTCCCAGGAAAATTTAGCTGACCAAACGGCAAGTATTCTTGTTTGAAAGTTTTCACATGTTAGTAAAGTTACGACTGAAGAAAACAGATTAATGTTAAATTAATTTATAGGTAGTTAAGTATTTTCTTCATTCAGTAGTTTTTTCTTGTTACGCTGCGGGACATCTGTGCATATTTCATTAGGTTAACTAAAGATTAAATAACGATGAAGTGTAGAACACGATAGCTCAATTGGCTAGAGCAACAGCAAGGAACGCTGTAGAACTTTTTTTTCAATCTAAAATAGATTTACTTTTTATTTTCCTTCCAGTAACTATAATCCGTATTCTAGAATGGGTTTTGATTATAATATAACCCATCAAAGCACCCTCGTTTATCCATCTTCGGTTCAGTGACACATTTATCTTCGAGTGTCAAAATTATATGAAATTCCCGTACCACCGCTAATAAACACAAAGACAATGGCGTGTTAAACCATAAACATAGCATCGCTTTACAGATTTCATCTAAATTGAATCTTCAAAAGCATAAGTACATTGTGTTGTAAAGGAGGCATCAAACAAACAATAACACGTTTTCGTTAAGCACGTTTACTTATAAATATTAAAAAATAATTGACTAAATATCCCCGCCTTACACTTTTAACAATATAATCGATGAAATAATCGATCTATTCATTAATTACATTAGTAAACATGTATGGATTAGTATATTTTAAGGAAATAAAAAAACTTTCAACAGATTAAAGCGCAAATCGAAAAGTTGTTTTAATTTTAACTACGACATTAACGATTCATCTACATTTTACAGCCGTTCTCCGCAACAAAAACTGCTGAAAGTTATAAACATTGAACCTGTATACTTCGCGTTTAATATTTTGTTTAATACATACTAATATCTATATTTGATTGTAAATATTTAACAGTTTTATAAAACACACCTAATATCACTAATGCGTACCGAGGTCGTGCTAGACAAGTTCACTTATGGAAATTACATTAATGATGAATTACTATATAACAAAGTCCTTCTTGTGGTTATAATAATAATAACAAATGGAGAATATTAAAAGCATCACCAGCTCTTTAATTGTCCCACGGCAATTGGGACACGGGCCACCTTAGAATGACCTCAGTACCACGCTGAAAAATGCGTGGAGGACACAATTAATGATAGAAAATATGTGATGTATGTATTTAGTCCTATCTATGTCAACTAGCGTCAATGTATATTACCTACCTATACATAGATCATTTTTACGGGTACCGAACTCAAGACGTCACGAACGTAGATCGTAAGTCGTGATAAAATTACTAGATATACCACATTTCATAATACAACCATTACTCTTGGTGAAATTTATATATATTTATAATATATTATTTATATATATTTATAATATATTATTTATATATATTTATAATATATATATATATTGTTCCGAGAATACAATAATATAAAAACATAATCCAAATGGAATGTAAACAGTGAGGTTAATCTTGGAAATATATTTTTTTAGAATCAATAACTTGTTTTTTTTTTATAGTTCATAAAAATTCATGTCACAGCAACATCGCAAGTAATAGTAACTTATTGTTGGCTTTTTACGAAGATATAAAAGCTCAATTAATTCGTTATTGCGAATTCTATGAAACGGACAAGGACTTTTCTGTTCGAGCAATAAAAATCAAGAATGAAGAGAAAAAACGAAAGCAGTCCGGCTATTGTAATTAAGTTTAATTTGTCTTATTTTTCTTCGTTCTAATTTATGATAAATATATAAAAGAGTCTGGATATTTTTAAGCTTGTAATAACTGTTGACGGAATTAGTTTTATCAAGAGATGTATGTACTTTACACTAAATTATAAAATATCCAACGAAATGTTTACTTAAAGTTAACTAAAATTAGATGCGCAATCTGAGACAACAAACATCTGCTGTAACAAAGCGTAAATGTGAAATTCGTGGAAACGCATGTTAATTTTTACAGAGACTTTCGTTTCTTATAAGTACTAATTTATTGTTATCTAACAAACTTCCAATGTTAATGCAAAAATAAGGAATTACTTTACTATTTAGAAGAACTTATAAGTTGATGCGATGAAAATAAAGACAAGTTGTTAAATAAAACACTTTAGCGGCTTAAAACGTGATATATATAGAGTTAAACTTATTTAAAAATTATGTAAACTACTGCCCGACGTTTCAAATGCTTTTCAGCAGTCGTGGTCACGGAGAGATACGCCTAATATATATTGCGTTTAAAACCGTTAAAATATTTTATTTCAATGTGTAAACTACAGACAGTATTTAAAGAATTTTTATTAATATCGTATTGTTAAAACATGACGATGCAATTTGTGGCATTATAAACTTGTGTGTTTTTCAAAATGGTGGCGAAAATGTTACACTTTATTACAACTAATTTAACATATGACTTACTAGGCACTGTAGTTATTTTGTCCGCATAGCCAACACTATATTCCACACACTTATAAGCAAGCCAAAAGAATGCTGGCGAAAACACTGAAAAAGTTTGTCGAAAATCGCGGAAAAGCTTTAGGCCGGTCAACGCGTCGTTTCCCGCCTGAGTCCAAACTTCTTATCGTGTCGTGTGACGTAATGTTGTTTAATGAGGGTGCGCAAAGATTCAGAAATCTTTGTTGCATTAAAGGTACCACAGACATAATATAAAAACCATTTATTAAGGGTCAGTTATCCGCAGTTTATAAGTCATAGATTATAAATCAAACATATAAATTTTGAATTCGAAATATAAATGTTATTGAAAGTGAAACATATCATAAAATATTCATATAGATTATTTCGTTTAACACAGTAATTATTTCAAAATTGAAAATTTAACAGTATCCCTATAATTTCTGAGTAATATTATCGGCCAAATAATTTTGTCAGGTTTACTAGTGTTTCTGTGGAACGGTTTGTAATTATGGTAAAATATAATTTTATTCATACGATTGGAATACATTTTATACAATCGTTTAAAATTTCGATATTGACGCGCTCGTTCAAGCGGGTCGTGGATTCGATCCCCACCGGGTCCAAAATTTTTCTAATCAATTTATAATTTTTCTGAAACACAAAGACTTTGTCTGGAAATTCTGGATATTAAGTGGTTGGTAATTCCGCCCGGGTTACGAACTCTCGTCAACAGATGAAAAGCCGTGAAGCTTAATCACGTTTCGGTTTCAGTCTATGGATTTCCAAACATCCAAAGCCAAAATAAGTCGACGGCGCATCTCGTGTAGATGTTATATGATTGGGGTGTTTTACCTACCATCAAGTCAACCACATGCTTTTCTGTTCTCCTCTATCTCTATCATTAAAAAAATGATCTATTAGTGAGCTATGGGCTAAAGAAGATCACAGACTAAATGATAAGAAGTCCAAAGGGTTTCTAAAAATACAAATCGTAAATGTAGGACGTAAATTTTCTAAAGCTTGCATAAATAAAACTAAATTTACGATTGGCATCACCGTGATGACTGACCTATTCCACTTCTCACAAGTCACAGTCAGTTAACGTGGTCTGCTTAGCATAAAGGCACCTTTTGCGTGATTGATATGTCTCCACTTGCACAGCTTTGTTATGTATCAAATTGGGTCAAATCCTGGGTAGAAAAGGGATATCGTGAAGGTCCCAACTCGTGTATATCACTTACAGACTTACCCTTCCTCTAAAACTCGAGCGATAGATTAAAAAAACGTGCAGTGTACCTAAATTTCATCCGTGAAAAATTCACAAGAAATAATCTATGCAAAGTTATACCATTTTCGTTTATGTATAAAGAGGATCTGAATCTAATTTCTTTTTTTTTTACAAAAATCTACTTTTAAAATAGTAAACGAAGATGAAGAAGATTTGCTAGAAATAAAAGTCAAATGAATTTTTAATTCATCTTTATTTCACAAGTAAATCATAAACAATAACGTCACGATCACTGTTCTATGATAATAATTACATACTGCTTAAATTAGTTAAACTATTTCTTTGTTACAATAATAATGATTACTGTACATACATATAAATAAAACACTTTAACGGTTTAAAACGCGATATATATTAGTAAAACTTATTTGAAAATTATTTTACTACGGCCCGACGTTTTGGATGCTTTGCAGCTGCCGAGGTCACGGGGAGACTAAAGATAGAGGGTGTCTCTGACGTCATAGTATAAAACTACTGCCCTAGCGCCATCTGCTCCGTCAAAGTTAGTATTTGCCGAAACTGGAGGGGTCTTGCAAAGTTTACTAACGGTGTCTTCGCGTTTGTTGCTATGCTGTTTTTTGGAATCCAGAGTTTTTAATATGGGATCCCAGATGTTAGATATTTCGAGGCTATTCACTCTATTGACATTTTTGTTTTTCTTAATTTCGATTGCTCGCGTACCAATCTTGGAAAACATCGACTCTCCTTTACGAGGATTTTTGGCGAAGTTAGTGTAGCGTAGCCCTGACGAGTGTCGAAACCGTTAGTGTTTTATTTAAATGTGTACTACTGTACATACATAATTAAATAATTAAACAAGTTTATCTAACGAACAAGTAGAAGTATATTAATATTTTAGTTACAATAGTTTCGGTTGGACATAAAATTATTACAGTTAGTTCTATTATACTACAAAACAAGTCGTACTGGAACGGTTTATTTCTACAGAAAACGCTGTCACATTTATTAACTTACGGGAATTACAAAAATAATCTTAGACATAATAATGACACCTCATATTAAGGTCAAAATTATATTTGGCGAGAGGTGAATGCGAAATTTTATTATTACTACAGACGTGATAAGATAGCTCTATCGCTGGAGCGTCGAAATGTTGGGTTGGGTTTTAGTTCCGCCTGTGTCATACATTATTTACTGAATAATACATATTATTAAAAACAGCTAATAATAATCGCGATAAAATCAAAACACTACACAAAAAATTCATTGAGCGGTAAAATTGTTTTATTTTTTGTTCATATTTATGCTATATTGTAAATGCATATGTTTGTTTGAACGCGCTAACCTCAGGAACTACTATGTCGAAATTAAAAATTATTATTGTGTTTGTTGGATCATTTATTTAAAAAGGCTTATTTTATTTTATATTTAGGCTATAAAACTTCACGCTGCGACAAATGGGAGCGAAGATACAAAAAGGGTAAAGGGTCTCCTCGCGTGCGCTGCGAAGACGATTCAAAATATATATCATAGAATGATTCTTCTTTAAATGATAATAAAAATGTCCACTTTAGTATATGTCTATTTTTTAAAATTTACTAACTATCACCGTTTATTTATGATAATCAAATTTCGTCGAAAAACTTCATACAAAAGAACGTTTGCCAGGTCAGCTAGTCTTATATAATAAAATAATATTTCAAAGTAAGGATTCTGTAAATGTAACACACCGATAGCTTTCTCAGTAATACCGCAAAATATTTTAAACGCTGTACATACCTAATGAATATTTGATTTGAGCTTAGTTACAGTCCCTATTCGTGAGCTTTATTTATGAGACAGATTCTATTTCATATTACACAGAGTTAACAAGTCGCACACATCCATTTTCTACAACTTGTTCACATATATAAGAGATTTACATTTCAAACTTTCTGGCCCGGCTGAAGTTAGCGCGGCCGCCGTGTTGCGCATGGTTCTGTCAATTTTAAACAAAAAGTCGAGTCACCCCGCACCCGCGCCCCCCCTTTCTCGCAACTGATACCTGCTTTTTGCTTTCTGCGCAAACATCCGCGCTAACTTCAGCCCGGCCAACAATTTTGGAGAATACTGTACTTAATTAACTCGCTATATTCACCAAAATGATTTAATAGGAATATGACGGGTGACGCCCACTTACCGTTTCCTGTCTTTGTAGCGGTAGCGGATTGTTGGAAAGAGACACAGACACTGTGCTCTATTAACTCACTTTGGTGAAAGCTTCTTGAGATTTCTTTAAGATGAAGAGCATTAATAATCACACCTGATCTATCTTATATTACTTTAATAAAATTCTCTTTGGACGTAATTAATTGTTAAAGGTTTACCTAATTGAAGAGTCGCGAATGTGCGGTTAGGGAGGCATTTCTAGTCGTTACATTCGGGTTCAATGAGATCGTATGTTTAATGGATGTGGTTGTTTTTCCGCTGCCGATGTTTCTTTGGCGGCAAACGCAGGTCCCTTGGCGATACAGCCTTCCGTTGGCATTTAGTTCTGAGAGAAAAACATACATGATTTTTAATGAAGTACACATTTAAATAAAACACTTTTAACGGGTTAAAACGCAAATAAATGGAAACATCGGTCCTTAGTTAAAACTAATTGTAAACAAGTAATAAATTTCGCGTTTTAAACCGTTAAAAGTGTTTTGATAGATCATTATGTGGAGTATGAAAACTGTTTTAAGGTATATATAAGGTAGGTAATAGATCTAAATGCTTAATCTAAAATTTTGCTTTTCAAAAAGAAAAGCGCCTGTCAATGTTTGTTACAATCCATTTTCAACGCGGAGGGCTAATTTCAAATTTTAAGAAAGGTATTATAAAGGAAAGCGTTTTCGTGTAAACATTTAACCTTTTCATAAGACGATAAATTTTATCTGATGTCGAGACGCGAAGTAAAACTTTTTAATTAATTTTCTAAATATTTAATAAGTAAAAAGCTTTATAAGTACAAGTGGGAATTTACTGCGACTAAGTTTTCTTACAACTCAAGTTGTATTCTAGTAAAATTGCTTGTGTAATAGTTGGTTTAATAATATTTTTTTACATTCAACCCGTTTAATATAATGTTTACAGCAGCGATGGTCACATGGGGGTAAGTTTTATTATGGCATATTTATACTCGAAAAATATTATTGTAACTCGTTAAATAGTTTAAACAATTATAAACAAACCCATTCGTGCAACTTCTGGTCGCCACGTTGGGTGATCGATTTCAGGTCGCGCACTAAAATTTTTTTTTTTTTATTCAGGTGCTTTACTTATCACCGATCTGGATATTAGGTGATAGGAATATCGAAATCCCGTCCGGGTCACGAACCACCATCCACCACAGATGAAAAAACCGTCCAGTTTAATCGCGTTACGATTTCCAAATCTTGTTGAGATTTTATTTGGGTGGGGTATTTTATGGCGCTAGTCTGTCCTCCTCTATCATAAAAAAAACATAATATATCCTAGAATCAAAATTTCTAAGACTTGCTCATCTACCAACACCCCTTTGTTCAGGTAGATCCAGAGCTTTCCAGATCACGCAGATGTATTAAAGATCTAATGAGACACTTTACCAGACATAGGAACAGCTTCGCAAACGCTCGATCGATGATTTGGACAGCCCACGGACTTCTTATAGCGGCAGAACAGTGTCCTGAGAGCCTGGTAACAGAAGATTCACTTTAATTAACAAAGGGACCGCCTCAGTGGCTCAGTGATTAACGCGCTACGTTTTCTCTGCTGGGTGCTGGGTTCGACAAAACGTAGTTAATCGTTTCGGTCAAACGAAGCTCATAAATATATAAAACATATATGTATATAAAACATGTATATAAAACATGTATATATGTATCTATAAATCTGTTTCAGATATATGCATTTGCATTCGTATTTGTTATATAGGTTTATAGGATGTTTGTAGCACAACTAGTGCTGGTGAACTAGTGAAACAACATACTATACACATACTATACTACACGATAGCACAACTTAAGAACAAATCAACACAAGGAAAATATTGTTATTTTTCTCAATTCTCAAAAGCAGTAGGTAACCAGATAAATTACATTTTATGTTATAAATATTACATAATATTGCATTCAAGTATTCTGAATACTTTAAATATTTTTCAGAGAAAACTGTTCAGGGGCATTCAACTAAAATAAATACAGTGAATTGAAACTTATCCGCTTAAGCTTCCCTTGTGAAAACAAAGTTTCGCGTGATATTTTCAATATCATTTTCTATTTTTTATGCGTACGCAAATATCGTGTACTTTGTTGAAAAAATCTACCTTTTGTTTGTTTCGTGTTGATTTTTATGGTTTCTAAAATTATTATTCGATTTCAATCAAAATTAAACGTATATATATATATGGCTTGTTGTAAAATAAATCGAACAAATTAAGTTAATTCGATTTTTTTTTTAAGAATGTGGGGTTCGACTACATGAATAATTTATCATGTGCATTAACATGTAAAAAATAAGTTTTCAAAATTTAAAAACGGCTTTACTTATTTCTAGTAACTAGTAAGTATGTATTTTCATTTTCAAGTTCTATTTTGCTTAAAATGTTATTAAATATACTTATATTAAAAAAACCAATAGCAATTTTTGTTTTAAAATGATTGCTTGCAATTGCTTGATCAATAAACTGTGTTAGGCTTTCACGGCCATCGTTCAGCATATCATTGTCTTTATTATTAATAATTCTTCGAGCGATCGAGGAGTCAACATCTCCTGATGATGCCGTCCACACGTGATGGCGAAACGTCGAGAACCTCTTCTCGCTCACATCGGCCGAACAGCCCGAAAGATAATGATATGTTTAATAGTTCCTATATACCTGCTGGAATCCACGTCGATATCTGGAGTTCATGTAGCAGTAGATGACTGGGTTATAGCAGCAGTGAGACATGGCCAGCCAATGACTCGCGAACCACACGTATGGCATTCCTTGCCAAGCCGTCCATTCGTCGTCGTTTTCGTGGGCACTCCACAACATCTATATGTATAAGAAATAAATTTAAGTGTTAAATAAATTTCAAAACACGCATCTGACGGACTTATTAGTCTAGGTATGTATAAGTAATAATCAACGTGTCGAAAGTTCGTTCCTCACATGTCCATGCTTCTAAGCAATTTACCTTTGAGAAATTTAATATATTTATAACATATTTGCTCGTAAAGAGGTTGTAATTAACAATAAACACCAGTTTCAATATCGCAATGTATCTCATTACGTACTTGTGCGATAATGTAATGTAAAAGGCACGTGTTTTTTTTAATAAAGTTTTAAGATACTCCGTCTAAAAATGAACGATACTTTTAAAAATCTTAGCAAAGAGGTTTTATGTCAAGAAAGTGGTCAATATTTTATGAATATAATAAAATTTGGGTAATAAAATATAACAAATAAACATTTAATTCTTTAATTTAATTAATTTTGACAATAAATTACAACCATTTATCTGTAACAAAAACACAAAAATATTAATTTACTTTATTAGTAATACTGGCTGTTTTTGTACCTTTGTCTAAAAAAAAACGTTGATACGCGCGCATCGCTTATTTGTGGACAAGTAAAAATAAATCCGCGCACTTTTATTCGTTTAACTAAGTTAGTATTTTATTAATTTCCTCGTAAATATGTTATAAAACGTCGTATGATATAAGTGCGCTTTGAAAATTACAGCCTCTGCTTTCTTATAATATCACCTCGGCTGTAATTTTCAACTTACCGCACTTATATCATAATGTAGGTACTATTGCACATGAAGGCACTATATAATTTTAAAATCGAAAATATTGCTCTGGCGACTCGGGCAGTTCAATTGGTAGAGCAACAGCGCGGAACGCTGACGATGCAGGTTCAAGTCCTGCCAGAGTCGAACATTTTTACAATTTATTTTCGATTTTAAAAATAATTTATACTTTCTTACACATGTTGGACTTCGTCTGGAAAACCTGGACATTAAATGGATGGTAGGAATATTGAAATTCAGCCCGGGTCACGAACCACCGTTTATAAATGGGCCAGCCGTGAACTGTAATGTCAATTCGGTTTCAGATCTGGGAACTTCTTTGGGAGTTGGGTCTGTGAACTTTTGAAATCGAAAACTAAAATAAGTCGATAGCGCATCTGGTTTATATGTCACATCAATTTTAATGTCTATCAAGAGAAACCCATTGACTGTCCTCGTGAGAAAAAAAAACTTAAACTTGGTCGTTCAGCTATTTTCACACACATTTAAAACACAATAGAAGTAGAAAATAAGTTATTTCTTATATGTATTGCTTTTTCATAGTATGATATAAAGAAAACTTGTTTCTGAAATGAATGAGTTACTTTCAAAGCGCAAGGAAAAATTATCCCATTTATTTCTTCGCGTCCGGCTTATTTATATTATATCTTAATCTACACGGAATGTTTTGGACATATTTTATTTTCTGCCTGGGAAATACTTGACGAGGAAAATATTTTAAGCTTGATTGGGTTTACTTAATTTTGGGGTGAAATGTTTGAAGTGGAGTGGTTGTGACAGAATAGATCGAGAATGAATTATTTGTGTATTGTTTTGTTAGCTACCAGTAGTGGGTTGCCAAATTAACTGGTTGACCTGGCAAACGTTCTTTTGCCATATGAAGTATTTCGACAAAAATTTGAACAAACTTTAAAAAAGGTTTTGTGAGATAATCATAATATATAGACTTGTCCTGTCCCAGACATTTTTCCTTGATAAATAGCCAACCAAAACAAAGATAATTTTTCAATTCTAACCAGTACTTCCTGAGATTAGTGCGTTCAAACAAACAAAGAGACTTGTAAGCTATTATTAGGAGATTGGACGAGAAAGATTTTTTATGTTATAACTTCTCTACTACCGCTTCTGTTAAATTATAGACAACACTCTAGACTTCTATGTAAAGTCTACAAATAAACAATATAATGACATGAGTGACAAGAATTTCAAATCAATTATATACACAAGGAAAATTGGTTCCTCTATTCGATTTTCATCCGTGCTTGAATAAAAACTCCTTAAACGTACCAAGAAGACGTTGAGTGGTAGCCAGCATATCGTGAACACAGTTACAACTGTCACCATCATCTTGATCATCTGTGGACAATTTCTCGAATTAAATTAATTAACTCTATAGTTAACACTATCTATTACCCATGACATCGTCCGCGTTCCGTTCTCAATACCGTCGCAAACATTGTTATAGATCATTTAAAGAGGAATCATTTTTTCGTACATTTTTTTTGAGTTGGCGAACCGGGTTTATAATTGTAGGATAACGGTTTTTTTTTGAGGTAAAGTAGAATGCCTTTTTATCTATAATTCCAGAGCTATATAAAAATCTTTTAATTACTTTGCAAGAAAATATTTTGAATTGACGTTTTCTTTTATTTTTTAAATCGTATATATGTATGATACAAAAGTTAATTAGTAGTGTACTTATTATTTGCCCATACTGTAACGTAGATATAAATGGCTTCCTCATTGAATTACATTTTCTAACTTAAATAAAATCTATGAGATAAAACAACACGCAAACGACTACTTTGTTTGAAGTTGATAAGAGACTATAAAACTCCACAAATGGCGTTATGTTAATGAGATAGATAATCTTGATGTTGGATTTTTTTTATTCATAGCTAAAATGTAAAGTCAAAGAAGGTTCTTTGTCGTCGATAGGTATCGACCATATCTACCAACAGGTTTTATACAAGCATGGAAAAATATTCATGTTATTTTTTACCTTTCTCTTGGAATGTTGTATACGAGAATCTCTATTCACTTCAGCCTCGCCCGGAGGTCGAACCCCCCATACCACGTATGCGATCCTTGTGTAAGTGCACACCAACGCAGTAAGAGGTAGCAGAAATTGTAAGGTCAGTAAAGCACAGGTGTACCTCTCGCTCTGTTTATGGTCCAACCAGATCTCTGAACAGATATCCCTATAAAACAGTTTTTATTACAATAAGAAATTAAAGTAAAATTTCAAACCTATAAAAAACCCCTAAAAGCAGAAAAAATCTTAAACAAATTTATCAATATTAATATGAAATGTAAAGAAAAATATAATAAAACCGACAGTACACACGGACCTCATCAGGTTGGTTCTTGCCTTTGTAATCAATTGTAATGAATCAATCTGATAATATTTTTATTAGTGCATTACAATCTGAGAATTACTAATATTCTAGTATTACAGCAGTTTGTACAGTAAATTAGTAAGTAACGTACAAATTATTACACCTGTTTTTTATTTTATTTTTCTGTTCTATGTATCACTAATTGAAAGCGGAAGGCGTAATCAATTTCATTTCCGTCTTTATAAAATGAAGTTTGAAGTTATATTGAAACTTACAATTCGCAGACTTCGTGCCAAAGAGAGGGTCTCTGCAGACGCGATACTACGAAGATTGGTGTCGCCGTAATCATGGCCCCAATCCATACCCCGCTAATGACAAGCTTTGCCGCCGTCTTCCCAAGCCGAGGTTTTAACGGCTGCGTTATCACAATATAACGATCCACAGATATAGCTAGCAACGTATACGCACTAACTAGTACTGAGACAGCTTGGGAAAAATTAACAACCTTACACATGACGCCGCCAAACGGCCAGTACCGCAAAACCAGCATGGACACAAATGAAAATGGCACACAGAATATGGTCATCATGATATCGCCAATCGCCAAGTTTGCAATGAAGAAGTTCGTCACTGTCTTCATTTGGGGCGAATTACTGATGACATAGCACACCAATCCATTACCGAAGAGCGCGATGACAAAAATGACACTGTACATGAAATAAACGCAAAAGTGAAACGTGAAAGAAGTGAAGAATATTTCAGATTCCTTTGTAGAGGAGCAGGAGAATGGGAGGAATCTCGAGAAATTGTCAAAGGTCTCGTTGAAAGTGATATTGCCATTTTGCTGGCAAATATGCGATTCGCATAGTCTCGGGTGGCCGTTAAAACTATTTTCGCTGTCGTTTGAGACGGCCATGCTTACAGCTTATGTTTTTATTATCCGTACCTGCAACAAAATGAAGATGTAATCAAACTTTATTTTACATATTCCTAATTGTATTTTTTATGATAGAAGTGTACAGACAAGCGTAAGGTTCACTAGATGGACCTATTTGGGCTGTGGACATCTGTGGACGGTGGATCATGATATTTCTACCACCAATTTAATATCTGTATATCCTAGACGATATAAGTTTTACTAATACATTTGGTGTTTTACACCCTTAAAAGTGTTTGATTTATGGTACGTTTTTAGATAACATGCAAAGACACCGATATTTTAATCAAGGGATGTGTCCGATTAGTAGAGCAGGGTTAGGCGAATAATAGTGTCCATTTCATTTATCGACTTTCCTAGTTGGTGATCAGCTGCGCCATTATTCAAGGGAACAAATGTCGACTTGACCGAAATGTTACCCTGTATTTGAGCTCCCTGACTGAGCTATAGAGACGGTGAACATTCTTAATTAGATAACAAAATTAAATAAAATTGATGATACAGGCGGGACTCGAATTTACGACCCGTTCCCTGCTTTTGTTTTTGTCTAACACGGTAACTCAGTGGTAGAATAGTAAAGCTTTCGTGTGTAATAAATGTCACGTGAATAATAACATAGACTTGTGTAACACAATGCTTTTTGCGAATAAACCAGTTATAAATATCTCAAAATTACTGATAGCGCTTAATTTTAACAAAAGTTTATAGTGTGACATATTTTAAAACTTATTCTGCCTTTTAGATAAAACAATTTAATAGTTTTAAACATACATTTTAGCTAACCGACGTTTCGGATACCGTAGTCACGGAGAGACCATGGCTACTGCAAAGCATCCGCGTTTTTTTAAATGTTTACCACTCGCGTAAACTACAGGTAATATTTATTCTGCCTTATCCTGCGATAAACATATTAATGATGAAATAGACATAAATATTTAAATAAGTGAAAGCCCGTCTCCCCCTCATGGGGCATGGGGCGAACACGTTTCTGTGTCCGTTTCACTGATCCGTTCTTTAACGGGCAAGTAGTCGATCAGACTTCTGTGCCCTGCCCGACCGAAACAATTTTGTGTTCCCTGGAATTCGAACCCACGATCTCTCGCTCTTAACGCAATGCTAGGCAATACGTTTAACCATTTGGCTACAGAGGCGGTTTAAAAAAATGTATATACATATCTCAAAAAATGTTGCTTTTGTCTGTTCACCCAAGCTGTACGGGAAAATGTATATTTGTATACGTAATGAGCTTAAATGTGCGAAACATTTAAGCCTTTACCGAGAGAACAGATGGAATGTTTTAAGAAGACGATGAGTACGTCCCGTACAGTATAATGTGGTACGGAACGTATGTATATATACATCATTTAAACATATTACGATTGTGCTATGTTAAGTTCCCGTTATCGTCAGACTAAGAATCAGACTAAATAAAGGACAATACTAATACATAAAACACCTTTAACGGTTTAAAACGCGAAATATTTTATTTAAATTAAAAATCGATTATAAATTGAATAAATTTACGACACAGGCAGGACTAGAACCAGTTTGCTACCAAACCAATTGCGCTACCGTGTCCCTATTTTAATTGACTTATCTTTACGGCTGCTGAAAAGCATCCGAAACATCGGGTCGTAGTAAAAAAATTATTTTAATAATATATTTCTTCGTCTAGTCTGCCTGAAATGATAAGTATAAACTACTCTCGTAATCTACACTAATAACTTCTACGAAATACTGAATAGTTACTAAACAAAGATCTCTTGGTTCTTCTATCAATCAAACAGAAAACAATTATAAGTATTTTATCAACTTGGGCCGTTAGAACGTAGGATCAATGCGTGCAAGCAAATAAATACTTATATATCATTTATGAGGCATAAAAATAGATTATTTTGGACTATATAAGAAGTTAAATAAATTATCCCGTCAAGTAATAACCCAGTAAACTACAGCTCTTCAAACTTGTTCAAATACAGACGCTTCAAACGTCTAATTGCTTAGACGTAATTCTCATTCATACCATCTTTAACGCCTAATTAATTTATTTCACGAAGCCTTCATAAAATTATTTCTCTCATCAAGACTGTTTACAGATCATTAGAAGGATAATTTTGTCCCCTATATTTGTATAGTACCTACGATAATAAGCTTTGCTGAAATACATTCGGAGATTAATTCCAATTAAATTACTGGTTCGTAACATTAATTATTATAAATCAAAATTATAATACACATAATAAATCACAGAAAACACTTTAACGGTATAAAATACGATATATATTAGTTAAACTTATTTGAAAATTATATTTAACTACGACCCGACATTTCGGATGCTTTGCCGTGGTCACGGGGCGACAATAAATAAAATATAAAATTTAAATATTTTCTAAAGTTTAACTATTATACATCGCATTTTAAACCGTTAACGAGTTTTATTCAAATATGTACTACTCGCATGAACTACAGACACTATTCATAATTACAGATAATTGGTCTTTATATGTATATTTGTCATGATTGTTTTTCTTCAAATCCAAACTTTTTTTAAATACTTGGAGATAAGTCAAGTTAACTATGACCCGACGTTGTAATCGTTTTATAGCAGCCATGGTCAGACCGGAAGCTTTTAAATTTAATAAACTTTTACAACTTACATTGCGCGAGAGTTGCGCGTATCAATAGGTTGAAATTAACTCTACGATGGCGTGTAGGACACGGTAGCTCAATTTGTTAGTGTAACGGAACGCTGTGGAAGTCCTGCCCGTATAGTTTTTTTTTTCATTTTTAACCTATATAAGACAAAGTATAATTAAAATTCGACTATTTGTGTTGCGTTCGCGTTTCATTCAAACATTATATTGATAAAGCAAATGATGCGAAGGTAAGTTTACGAGCGCTAAATCCGGGACGCGTTATGGTCGTCATAAACACGGCTTGATATATACGGACGGACACTTTTTACAGACGATAAAGCCCGTCTATTTTTTAAATGCTTAAGGCGTCTATTTCGTAAGATAAAATGCAACCTATAACAGCACTAACAAACAAAATATAGCAACTAACCTTACAGGGAGAGCCACTAAACAAATTTAGGCTATTTAAAAGGTTACTCAAAAAATTTTAGTCTAGTACTAGTATTGCGCGTGATCTTCACGTACATACACGTCTATACTAATATATAAAGCAGAAGTGTTTGTTTGTTTGAACGCGCTACTCTCAGGTACTACTGGTTCGAATTGAAAAAATATTTTTGTGTTGGTTAGAACACTTATTGAGAAAGATATCGCTGTGACTAATAGGAAAATTATTCATCCTTGTGGGGTTTCCATTGCGTACGCTGCGAAAACAGTTTAAGATATCCAAAAAATATGTATGCAAGAGTGATTCCTCTTTAAATGTTTAAAAAAATGTCCGAAACAAACATATAAATAGATATTTACAAAAAAAAACGATTTGTCGCGAGTTGCACTCGCACACGAACTGTACCGTTGAATAGGTAAACATTTAATAAGTATATTGCTTTTTTTGTAAATCAATTTTAATTTTTGTTACAAACGTACGTAAGTATTTTGGAAATGTGGTTTAACTATTGTTGTATTGAAGCTTCCCTTAACATTAGTTTTACTTTACGTAGAATGACTAGATACACCGCTAACACATACACAATTAGTAAACATATCCACTGTCTAGGTATTGCAAGGCCGTGGTTACAACTGGAGGAAGCCACTTGCTTTTACGCAGAGCAAAACGGATTTCTTAACTTTTCAGTGAAATTTTGCGTATATTACGAATTCACGGAAAATTGTTTCCTCGTGCAAGTATAATGCTGTCGGTATCTTCAAGACAATATATATGGAATTGCTATCTGTCGTTTCGTCTAGTTATAGGTTATATTGTAGTTGATGCTAGTAACGACGTGCTAGTTGATGTAATAGTAGCAATGTAAGGTTAACCTTCAATGGGTCAGGGGTTCCCTCCCCAGCGGGACCACTATGTTAATCCATTTATATTGTTTATGAAACTAGCTAAACTTTGTTTGAAAATCTGGTTAATAAATGGGTGGTAGGTGGTAGGTGGGTTCGGTCCGGGTCACAAATCACCGTCCACAGATATAGTCCACAGATAAGGGCTGTGTAGTTTAATGGCGGTTTCACTGTGGCTTTCCGAATATCCAAACCCAAAAATAGTTCACCAGCGCGTCTTGTTGTGATGTTATATGGCGAGAGTATTTCACCTTTCATCAAGTGAACCGCACGCTTGTCTCTCGATCATAAAAACGTGATCATCCAAAAAGTGGTTTCCATATCCAAATATGACGAAGCCTCTTAGAAATCCCAAGTTATAGTCTTATTGCGTATTTCAGTTTTTTTTTAATTGTAGATCATGTCGGCTTTGTAACAATGTTAATTAATCTTATTTTCCACTTATATACGAAAAATATTGATGACGAACGAAGAAGTACACGTACTTTACTATTTATTTAGAAAACAGGTCGTTTCAACCTTTTTTTTAATTTTTTTTTTCATCTCGTAAATTCCTGTAACACAAAGCATAGTAATAACGTATAACGTATTCTAAGAAAAATTATATTGCATCGTGATAGATTGAACAAACGACACTCTCCACTTAGAACCTGAAACCTTCGAGGAAGACGAGGGAAGAATTTGTTCTGCTAAATAAACATTCCTGTAATCAATTTATTGGGTACGTTGAATTAATGATCAGTAAATCTGAAGTATTTTTACATGAACGCAATACTGAGAGTCTATATTGAAGTCAGGTATTTTAGTTCAGAGAATATCATAACAGAGCTTAACTTGACTTAACACAAGATCCAGGCTTCGACTCCTGGATCTGGTACTAAGTTATATTAGAAAATTAGCAACGCCTCAACGTTTAGATACAGGAAATGTTATGCCACTGACATATGTAAAAACTAAGTAGTAGGTACTGTCTGTAGTTTACGTGGGTAGTAC